GTTGTAACAGTTTTATTCTTAGGGTCATGCTGCCCCCTGCTGTTTCTTTATAGTTGCCCAAGTATGACCCAACCTTGAATCCTAGAATCCCAGGGCCAGGGGAGGCTGTTAGGGCCTAGAACCTTTGGGCAGGAATGGTCTCAGAGAGTTATTTACCCTTTAAAAAAAAAAAAAAAATTCCAGAGAGGATGATTGGCTGGGCAAGAAAGATGTACCCCCTAGATAACCAAATACCTATCACCTGTTCTATTCTTAGGGAAGTAAGTCGGTAACAGATGGGTTACTTATATGACCCTGAGCAAAGTCACTTAATCTTGTTAATCCTCAGTCTCCCCATCTGTAAAAATTGGGCTAATTTCTATTCATAGAGTGTTGTGATGCATACATTGGAGAATTTGTGTAAAGAAGTGCCTGGAATCTAGGAAATGGTAACTATCAACCCCCCTTTTCCACTAACAATAAATTTTTGGGGTCAGTGTTGGGTACAAACTAGCAGTTCAATAAATTATTGGTGAATTGAGAGAGAAAAAGAGGTAGCCTGTCCTGCCAAGACCTCTTCATGGAGATGCTCAATAGCACAAAAGTTTCTCACTTAGAAATAAAAAAAGTGAAGAGGTCTACATGGAAATATCATGGTCCGAGATTTCTGGTCTGAGATTTCATCACTGACAAAATTGATCAATTGCTTAAACTTCTCCTTTGAGGAGAAGCCAGAGCCATGTATCCAAACTCTGAAACAGTGACCAATAGCATAGTCAGCAGGACTCCCGCTGACCCACTCCTAACACATCCTTACATTCCTCGGCCCCATGCCGTTTTCATGCCTACTTAATTCACTGTGTTCCTATTTGGGTCTTAATATATATTAAAGGGAGATTTTAATAACAAAGCAGATATGTGCATCCAGTGATGTTGATGTTCCCGCGTTCCTTTCAGGCCCAGATAGTTCCGAAAAGCACTTTCAGATGCAGGGACTGAGCTCAGTTTCCGCCCGGTGCAGGGGCGCAGCTCACACCACAGCGGGATGTCTAGCGCTCTTCAGTGCCTCCAGATTGTGGCGCTTGTGCAGGTTCCCTCATACGTAACCGATGGCTCCTGAGAGCCTGCCTCTCGTAAATTACTTCCCACGATGCCTGCGACCATGGCAGAATTCAAGTTTGAATAGAGCAGGAAAAAGGTGTTTGAAAGGCCTGTTCACTCAGCTGCATTTTAATTTCCTTTTCAATCTTGTCCCAATTAATTTCACAGAATTAATCTCACAGAAGCAACTCGGCAGCATTGAGGCTGCGGTTTTAGTGTGGCGGTCGCTCTGCCTGAACATGAAATAGGAGCTAATATAAAAATCCATCTGCTGTGT